TCCAATAACATGCATTGTGTCTAAGTCATAAGTCAGTGCCTCACCAGCACTGAACCTCACCGCACGTCACTGAATTCTACACACAAGTTTCCAAAATGTGGAAAGTGGTAGTTGAGTTGTTTGCAAATGAATTAAAAATAGAAAACCAAAGAGTCACATTTACATTAGTATTCAAAATCTTTGTTTAATACGTTGTTGATCCAAGTTTAAGAGCAATTACAGTTTGAAATGTTCTTTACAGTTCTCCAGCTCATCAGGTTGGATGGAAGTCAAATTTACACTAATCACAAATATGTCAGAACTTACAGCAAGCATCTACAATACACAAGAAAAAGAAAAGAGAAATGTTTTAAATGTTTCAAATTGTCAAAAAAAAAAGTTGTTCTATGAGCAAAGCAATACTAGATAAGATGTGAAGTTTTCACCTGATGAAGGTTACCATCACTCACAAACTAAGTCACAGCTCTTAGTTTACAGCACAGATAAAATGAAACTCATCATAATCAGACTTGATGAACCAGAGATGGTCTCCTTCTTTCTCCATGGCTCCATTGGTGTCACAGTTTTCTTTTGGTTCATTGTGACCCCAATGTTTAAACTCTACAGCACTGTCATCAACACAAAACCAGTAATGGAGAGAGGAGGCGTAGTGAAGGCAGAGTCATATGAAAGGACTGTTGGTTTTCTCAGCCTCCATCTGCATCTGTTTATCCAGGATGGAGGCCAGCTCTTTGTGGTTATGTCTGCAGTAGCTCAGGGCTTCTTCCCAGGTCTTGTTTTGGTCAATCAATAAAAAGGTGAATCTCAAAAAGAAACTTAAGCCTGTTTTATATGACAGAAAGTCAAGCAACTCCATGTAGGATATAACGTAAACAACACAGTCAGAAATACAATAAGTTTGTAGCAGGCATGTACATGATCTAATGGTCTGAATGCTGATTGCAGCAATCTACATTATTAGCAAATATAGAGGGCCCCAAAACCAAATTTTGCCTAGGGCCCCATGGAGCATTGGGCCGGCCCTGCCCCCCATCATCAAAGTCAACTCGCCACCAGGGAATGGTTAGTAAACAGTTCTGCCTCTGTCTTCACCAAAGACGAGTGCTAAGGGCACATATACTTGAACACGGTGTTGATGAGCACAGAAGTCCAATAACAGAACACCACTTGGGTTTAGATCAGAGTGGCCGAACCTCTCCAGGTCTCACTATCATTGCCCACATGAGCGCTGAAGTCCCCCAGCAGAACAAGGAGAAGAGGCACTCTCCAGAACCCCTCCAACGACTCCAAAAAAGGTGGGTAATCTGAACTGCTGTTTGTCACATAAGTACAAACAGTCAGAAACCGTCCCCCGACAAATAGGTGAAGGAAAGTTACCCTTTTCACAGGGGTGGATCCCAACACACAGGCAACAAGATGGGAGGCAAAAAGTATCTCCTTTTCTGTGCCCCTCGCTATGGCTGACTCAACAGACCCTGATCCAAAGTCCAAGCGGAGCCCAGTTCAATCCCACCATGTGATGGTGGGATTGAGTAGGTCTTCAAAGTAGTCAGCACAAGTTATTCTGCTTGTCCTCTGTGAACTTTTATTACACCCGAGTTTTTGCATCATCAACCACCCGAGCTGCATGGTGCTGCTTCTGGGGTACCACAGAAGCAGGGGGACCTGCTTCTGTGGGACCCCACAGATAGAGACCTGATAGGTCTCTATCTTCAGCTGTCCAGCTTCCCTCCCTTTTGGTGCCCATGAGCTGATTCTAGGGTTGTCCTCAAAACAGGCACTGACAACCTTGTGGCCACAACTTCAATAAATCACCTTGACAATGGATGCTCTGTGTGGACTATGTTTCACCCACTTCCTCCAAAATGTGTCCGTGATCTTTTCATAGATGTAGATCTATGAGGACATTATGGCAAATGTCAACTTCACAGTCGATATTTGAAAGTGATACTCGGTCATCCTCAGCCTTCAACACCAGTTGTACACACATCAGATATGTGTAAAGGTTGCTAATGTCAGAAGTCGTTGTTTGTCACTAGAAAATGACTGATGATGGTACGACTGAGTTCCAGTTTTTACAGGAATTTCAAGGACTGGGTCAGGAATCACAGGATATCTTAAATCATCTGAACTGACTGACCATGGTGTCAGTGTCACTGAAAAAGTTTTCTTTATGTTGGAGTTGCAGGTAAACTGTTATACAATATGTGTGTATCACAACATTCGTGATACACACATATTGTATAACAGTTTAGAAGAGTAGTTGTATTGGCCTCTCACTGTTCCTTTGGTACGGGAATGACAGCACCAAGGTTACAAATAATACATGAAGACTTCTGACATTGTTCACAATAGTCAGCTGTGTACATCTCACAGTCTGTGTTAATACAGACTGTGAGTCAGATAGTGTGACATAAAACAAAAAAGACTCCAGGCTTGTCCCGATGTACTGCATCTTTAGTGTTTCAAACTGCAAAGACACTTTTTTGTAATGTCTGTGTTGGCAAAGAACTCTTTGCCCATGAGCTGATTCTAGGGTTGTCTTCAAAACAGGCTCTGACAACCTTGTGGCCACAACTTCAATAAACCACCTTGACAATGGACGCAGGGAATGTGGCCGACTCTGTGCTGACCATGTTCCACCCACTTCCTTCAAAATGTGTAGAGCTAACTACCTGTGGTTGTAAAGGTAACTCGCTCAACCTGTGAGCAAGCAAACACATCCAGGTCCATTTGGTCAAAGGGAACACTGACACTTTCAAAAGCAACAAAGTCTTCCGATGCCTTTGCTGTTAAATCCGTAGTTGTGGTTTTGATTCCCAGCACTTATGCTTTCAGAATGAACTTCCTCATCCTTACCTTCCATGTCCTTTTGGACTTCGAGGACAATGTCAAAAGCAAAGTATTTTGATCTGTCATCATGAGAGCTCTCTACTGAAATGTCATTGCCTCTTAAGTTACATCCTAACATTTCATCTTCCTTTTGTTGAGAATGAGAATCTCAATCGATGAATCATAATTTGTATTGACACACGGAGCATAAAATCAGCCAAGAAAAGCATTCAGACTTTACTTATTTTATTAACTTTCAGCGCTGAAAGGAGACGCTTTACCATTACATCCGAGAAGAGTTTCTAAAAAAGTCTGTGCAGCGTCTGAGGAGAAGGAGGAGGGTAGCTGATTATATGGACTGAAGGCACTCCCTGAAATCACACCATGTCTCTGTGGACTGATAAGTTTCTGTTTCTCGTGAGAAATGGACCTTGGTGTCTAAGAGAATCAAAAATGTAACTCTTTACTATGGGCCCTTTGTCTAACAGCATGTTACTCTTTCTCGGCCTTGGTAAAGCGTCTCAACACTTTGTAAGAAATCTAAGGCCCCAAACCAATATCAAAGATCATCTTGACTTTGTATGCAGTTAAAATGTTTTGTAAGATCAGTTTGAAGTCGCCTCTCTCAAATCAATCTACCTCCAACAAAAAGCAAACTGAAAACTCTTGTATTTCCAATGCATAATCTATTTGACCCTTTATGACATCATCAATGAGAACACTGAGGTGCTCATCGACATGATGATGTCACACAATCTGTGTCAGGTTCTTGTTTGTTTTAGTTGCTATGGAAACACAAGAAGGTATGTGTGGGATAAGATTACTGTCAATTAAAAATGCATGCATAGACATCTAATTTTGTAATGTAAGTTAATAAATGTGCATAAATTAAAATTTTATATTTCTCCTGTTTACCTATGAGAATACTCGTAAACAGATTAATTAATAAAAGTATAGGTTTTATAAAGAGAGTAAGTATTTTCCCAGCAAACCACACATCAGTCACATTTAGGAACTGGCTCTAAGACATCTTCTTGATCTACTTTGAATTGTGGGAGAGGAGCAGGCACGTGCAGAGGGCTGGGGGTGCTTGAGCATCTGCCCTTTTTGCTCCTTGCCCCCAAGTGCCCTTTTGGTCAATTTTTTTTTATTATTATTATTTATCTTTTATTTTTTGTATTATTTCCTAAGTCCTCTTCTGACACATAATAACATGTACTAAAATTATTTGTAATTATTTGTTTTGTTTTTTTGTTGGGTATTTTTTGTACAACATAATAAACTGGTCACCGTGTTACCTTTGACCTTTTGCCCGTGA